CATCACTTGATCCCTGTGTTCCTTTATCCATTTCTTCACTGGTTGTCTCTGTGTTTAAGCAAAATTCCAGGACCCTCAAGCCTATGCATTCCTTGTAAAGGCTAGTCATTCACCAATTCCATCAAATTAATAAGCAGTTTCTAAATCTCTAGTGGCTCCTAACCTCCTCCAGCCTCATTCTTACCCCACATACACCGTAGAGTGTGATGGTTGACAGTATGGGCTTTCATGATGGAGAAAGCCGGGTCAGAGCTCCAGGCCTGTTGTTGGTAATTATCCTTGGACAAGTTAAGTCTCCTTCAGTCTCTGCTTCCTTATTTGTGAAATGGGACTAATAGCACTGCCTCATCTGGTTATTATGGATATGGAGTGAGCTAATAAGGGATTCAGAGCTCCCAGCACATGGAGGATTCTTAGTAAATATTAACTATTATTATTATTACGTAACCCTTTCCAACATTTTAGTTCAAATTAGAATCTATTAAAAAATCCACACTGTAATGTTCATTTCACTGATGTAAGGGCAGAACCCCCCCTAAGAGGAGGAAGCTGTGAATAAAAGAGTTATGCCAGTGTTTCATTGGTTGATTGATTCCATTAGCAATAATGTGTAGACGGAGCACACTGTCCTAGCGCAGTATCAGTGTGTTTACAAGGACATAGCAAGGGAACATTACATCCTATAGGTCATGCATGAGAAATACAAAATTGGATTCCTATCCTCAAGGGGCTTCTGTTCTGATGGAGAAGAATAAGGCAGAAGCTCAGACTGCTCTTTATCAGAAAGTGTCAGGCACACTGTGTTTCTTAGAGGGTTCTAAAAAAGGCACGAACAGTGTCTGGCACACAATAAACATCCCAAAAACACTAGTTGAAGGAGTGAGTAGTGAGTGAATCAGTGGGATGAGTGATGGCTGTTGACAAGAACTCTTGGTTTCCATCCAGCCTCTTTCCAGCCTCTCCCTTTGCTAAGCAGCAGTAGGCAGATTGTTGTGGAGACAAAGATCACTGGCAATGTGGGGAACACCCAAAGGCATGTTAGTTTATAAAAGAATAGAAAGTACTAGCAACCAGCCCCAGCTTCCTCACAGCCCAACCTGTGACCTGATGCAAAGGGGAACTCTCCAGCTCTCAGCTCGATCCTCTTCACCTACTTCATCTTCTCAAGGAGATACACTGTGACCTCTGCTCTTGCAGCTGTCATCAAAATCTGCCAGTTCCCTCAACTTAAACTTTAAGTCCTTGGGATTGTCTGAGAGATCCTCTGTAGAGAATGCAAAGGTGAGAAAACCAAGTTAAATTCCCATAAAAAAAATAGTTGCTACTCTAGGCAGAGGGAATGGGTAGACCTAGATCCTATTAGGAGCCTAAAATTGGGGCTTGAAACTACTCTTACTGGGTAGGGTGGGCATTTCTAGAACAATCTCCCCATAAGGATCATCATTTTGCAGTATATTTCCTTTTGCACACACACCCATACTTGCTCAGTCTAAATGCCCTTATTTTATTTTGTTTTATTCTTTATTTTATCAGCTAGAATTAAGAGCCCTAGGCCTCATGGGCTAGAGCTCTGTTTTATAGTTCTGAAGTTAATAGTAAGATGAGAACTGATATTAGAGATTTGAAGCAAAGAATGTATGGAAAGGGGGATAGGAAAATAGAAACTGGTGGCTCTATATTTTTTAAATATTATTTAGGGATTTTGATCATTTTTTAAATTTACAGACAATTCACTTTTTGGTATGCAGTTCTATATGTTCTCACACATACAAAGATATATGTAACTACCAATGCAAACAGGATATACACAGTTCTAGCATTTGAAAAATCTCCTTTCTGATGCCCCTTTGCAATCAACTCCCCCCTATGCCATCCCTGACAGCCACTGATCTTCACTCTACAATTTTTTCTATTCCAGAATGTCGTATAAGTGAAGACATAAAATATGCAGCCTTGCTGGCTTCCTTCACTTAGTATTGTGCATTTGAGATTCAGCTGTTTTACACTTTATTCCTTTTTATTGCTAAGTTATATACCATTGTGGGGATGTATCACAATTTGTTTATTCATATACCCATTGAGGGACATTTGGGTTATTTCCAGTTTGGGACAATTATGAACACTATTGCTATAAACATTGACATACAGGTTTTTGTATGAACAAGAAAAAACTCATTTCTAAGGTAATACCCAAGAAACCATAAATGGGTCGTATGGTTAATATACATTTGGCTTCATATAAAATTTCCAAACTCCTGTCCAGAATGACTGTATGATTTTGCACTCCTACCCACAATGTAAGAGAGTTAGAATTGCTCTGTGTTCTTGTGAACACATCAGCTTGTCAGGGGTCCATATTTTAGCCATTCTAAAAAGATACATCATAGTATCTCTCCTTTGGTTTGATATCTCTATGGGATGATGTTGAGCATATTGTCATGTGCTTATTTGCCATTTGTATGTCTTCTTTGGTAAAATGTCTATTTGGACCTTTGTCTTTTTTTTTTTTTAATTAGGTTGTTTTCTTATCTTTGAGTTGTGAAAATTCCTTTCCGAATCTTGAATACAAGTCCTTTGTTTCCGCCTCTTTTCTTCTCTGGAAGAGATTGCATGTAATTGGTATTATTCTTTCTTAAATGTTTGGTAGAATTCATTAATGAAGACATCTGAGGACTGGAGGTTTTTTGTTACCATTGTTTGAGGGTTTCAATTATGAATTTAATATCTTTAACTGATATTAAACTACTCAATTCTTCTTGATTCAGTTTTGTTAATTTATGTTTTTCAAGATTTTGCCCATTTCATCTAAGTGGTCCTATTTATGTACCGGGAGTTGTTTCTGGTATTATTATCTGTTTGTCTGTGGAGTTTGTATGCCTTTTGTTGTTGTTGTTGGTGGTGGTGGTAACGTAATTTCTCTCTCTCCTGGTAATATCTACCTGGATTTATCAATTTTTCTGATCTTTTACAAAAACCAGCTTCTGTTTCATTGCTTTCCTCAATTGTTTTACCTTTTTTTCCAATTGAATTAATTTCTGTCCTTACAAATTAATTTTATTCCTTTTGTTGCCTTTGTACACATTTGGATATGCTTTTTCTAGATCCTCAAGGTGGAGTCTTAGTTATTGATTTGAGAACTTTTCTATTACCAAATAAGTGTTTCATGTATGAATTTCCCTCTAGGCGCTGTTGCAGCTGTATCTTACAAAATATGATATGTTGTGTGTTCATTTACATTTAGTTCAACATAGTACTCAATTATCCTTGAGGCTTCTTTGTTGATCAATGAATTTCTTAGTGTTTTGCTTATTTCTGAACATTCAGAAAGTTTCTTCCTGTTATTAATCTATTTGATTCCATTATGGTCAGAGAATATACCTTTAAAAAACATGTTTTGTGACCCAGAATATGTTCTATTTTGGTGAATTTTCCATGTATACTTGAAAATAGTGTAAATATTATTGTTGATTGGGTAAGATATCTCGTAATTGTTAATTATGTAAAGTTGATTGATGGTGCTATCTTGAGTCCTCTATGTTTTGATGATTTTTTTGTCTGCTTGTGCTATCAATTACTAAGAGGGGAGACTTGCAATCTCTAATAGTAATTGTGTGTTTGTCTCTTCTTTTAATTCTGTCAGCTTTTGCTTCACTATATCGAAGTTCTGTTATTAGGTACATACATGTTTAAGGTTGCCATATCTTCTTGGTGAGTTGACTTTCTTTATTATTATGTAATATTTCTCTTTATCCCTGATACTTACCTTGTTCTGAAGTCTATTTTAGCTGATATTAACATATCCACTAGTTTTATTTTGAGTAGTGTTTGCATGGCAAGTTTAGCTTTTCTATCTTTTTAATTAAATCTCCAGTTTTTAATAGATGCAATTAGATTATCTATATTTAGTATAAGTATTGATACTGGATTCAGGAAGACCATTTTACTATTAATTTTCAGTTTCTTCTCTTGTTTCCCTTTCCTGCATTTTAGATTATTTAAATATTTCTTGCCAATCCACTTTAACTTTTCTCTTGGCATTTTTTCTGTACCTCTTGGTATAATTAAATAGTTGATTTTTTAGGGGGTTAAAATAGGTAACATTTATAGTTAGTAGTTAATCCATTTCAAGTGAAGCACATAAAACTTACAACTACATAAATCACTTTGTGCTTGATTCTTTATGTTGCAATTGTCATATTATTAAATCTATTATATCAAAAACTCAGGCTGGGGATATAGGATATAGCTCAGTTGGTAGAGTGTTTGCTTTGCATGCACAAGGCCCTAAATTCAATCCCCAGAACCAAAACAAACAAACAAACAAAACAACAACAACAAAAAAAAACAACCAAACAATCAATATATCAAATCTCACCAGATATGTAACAATTTTTGCTTTCAACAGTTATACAAAAATATTGATATTACCTCATTTGCATATTATCCTTTCATTTAGGTCTTGCTAATCTCTATATGGTTCCAATTTTAGTATATGTGCTGCCAAAGTGAGCACTAAAAATGTTTTTTCAATGTTTTTCTAATAAAGAATATAAAAATTTTGCATCAAGTTTGTGAAATAATCAGTTAAAATGAGAAATACAATGTTTTTATTGACTAACCAATTATGTTTTGACAGTAAAGGGTACAAAAAAAGTCTTTTATCATCTTGGATTAAAGCATAATGTATAATTAAAACTAGAAATAGGCACAGAAATAGTTGACAGCCAATGCAGGCTTTTTTTTTTTTTTTGGCAACAAAATGTTTATAATGTCAGTGCTCTCGGTTATCTGCAGATATACAAATCGTAGGTATTTTCTAGAAATTGTGATTAAAAGGGAATAGTAGATAGTTGGAGAAGATAAAGTGAAAGTTAACTCTGCCAGGTTTGAGATTAAGGAAAGGAAGGCCAGACCACACATGGCTTAGATCATAGCCAAGAATATGATCTATAAAATTCCTATAAAGCATTTTTCATTTAAAAAAAAAACCCTCAAAGGCATTTTATGCTTGTAATTTTATTTTCTTCTGCTGCATTGCTATTACAAATGTTGTCCACATGCCAGCCCAGGGCAATGATTGCGCATCAGACATTGAATGCATAGCCTCCCTCTCAGCCTTGGTCCTTCCCTGGAGCATGTAGTCATTGGCTTGGAATGAACAGCTGTGAAGGTGACTGTTTATCTAAAGGCTTTGGTGATGTAAGCCTGAAACCAAGGAGAAGGGGAGCAATTAAATCTCACCTTGATTAAACTGTAGGGTACCCAAGGGTTGCAAGTGGGGCTTGGCGACACTTTCTTCAGTAATTTGCACATGGATTCCATAGGGAAACCATCTGCCATAAATGGTGGTCTGGACACTTTGTCCACTTCTCTGTCAGATGTCTGACCATTCAGGAAGTTTCAGCCAAAATGCTTTTTGCTTCATGACGCCTTTTCTCCCCATCATCCTAACCACGATAAATAGTCCATCTACATGCCAACCCATATAGCCTCTCTGTGTTAGCCAGCTCTCTCCATCATTATGCAAAATATCTAAGAGAGATCAACTGAAAAAGAGGAGAAATTTATTTTGGCTTATAGTTTGGGAGGTTTCAGCCCATGGTCTCTGTTCCTTTGGGCCTGTGGCAGCACAGTTCATCCTGGTGGGAGCTTGGGGTAAAGGAGGCTCACAAAAAGAGAGAGAAGAAAGGCAGGGCCCCATAATCCCCTCTGAGGGAAGCCCCCAGTGATCTACCTTCTCCCACTAGACCCCACCTCTTAAAGGTTCTCCCACTTCCCAATAGTGTCAAGATCTAGGGACGAAACCTTTAACACATAGGTCTTTGGGGGACATTTCAGATCCATAGCACCCTCCATCTGCCCTATTATGTGGCAGCCTTGGTTTTCCTTTTGTGTGAATATTATTCTGAAATGGATTTTAATCTCCATTAAGATCAGGCCTAGCCAGGCGTGGTGGTGGGATTATGCCTATAATCCCAGCGGCTCTAGAGGCTGAGGTAGGAGGATGTCTAGTTCAAAGACAGCCTCAGCCAAAGCAAGGTGCTAAGCAACTCGGTGAAACCCTGTCTCTAAATAAACTACAAAATAGGGCTGAGGATGTGGCTTAGTGGCCGAGTGCCCCTGAGTTCATCCCTGGTACCAAAAAATAAAAAGTTTGAAAAAAATCAGGCCTATGTTTTGTTTCCCTCAAGTGACCTACACATATATATTATGTTTGCAAGAAGCAGTTGATAGAGTCTTTGAGAGCTCAAGGTGTCTGCCGTTGGATTCTGACTTTGCCATTTCCTAGCTGGATGGCTAGGGGCAAGTTACTTAAATACTCCATGCCTTAGTTTCCCCACTTGTCAAATCAGGAAAATAACACTCTTTGTTAAGATTAAATAAGTAAAGGCATGTAAAGTGCTCAGTATATTTCTCTGACACATAGTAAATACTATTACTTGTTTTTCTTGTTAAGCAATTAATTTTTTATCATAAAGAGAGAAACTGTGAAACAGTATATATTTATAAGTAAGGCAAGACAGAATGCAAATGAAATTAACTAAAGAGAAGGCAAAGAAAATAAAAAGAAGTTGACTAGACTCCGGATGCAAAGACTTAGCAACTATTTTTAAAAGAAACAAAGGCTAGGAATGTATATTGGTACAATTACTTTAGAAAACCATACCCAAGTGTTTATCAAGAACATTTTCACACTCTATGAGTCAGCAATCCCACTTATAAGTATATTTACAAGAGAAAAGCATCCACAGATCCAATGCAAGGATATTTGATAGGTAGAATGCTCATAGCACAAGTATACATGGTATTCATTAACTGGAAACTATGCAAATATTCATTAACAGAAGAATGGATGAATAAGTTTGGAGCAGTAAAAAATGAATGATCTACAACTACACACAGCACAATGGATAAATCTCACCAATGTAACAACAAAAGAAGCCAGCACCAAGATTCCAGGCAAGAGTACCCCAGCTGATGAGAAATAGAGAGGAGAGAGGAATTTCTGGAGGCTGGTTAACCTTTCATTTCTTCATCTGGTGCTGGTTACATGGGTGGGTTCAGATTGTAAAAATTCATCAAAATGTACACCTATAATGTGCATTTTCCCAGTATGTGTAGTACTACACACACACACACAGAGAGAGAGAGAGAGAGAGAGAGAGAGAGAGAGAGAGAGAGAGAGAATAGAAATGGAATAAGGATAGAAAAGGCAGGGAGAAAAAGAAGAGAAGAGAAAGGAAGGGGGTGGAGGTGTGGGGAGGAATGTGAAGGGGAAGGACAAAAATAATCCAGAACGTGGAAAGACAAGGATCCTTGGCTCTGGCCGCCCCTGCGGCAGCACCTGACCCGGTTGGCTCACCCCTCTGCCTTACATGCCACTCCTGCCCTGCAGTCTATTTGCTCAGCCCGAGGATGAGGATGGCAAATGACCTGTGCTAGGGGTCTTTTCTTCTCTTCTTCGTTCCCCCACTTCTCCTCCCTGCCCTAAGCCTCTCTAGGAAGAACTTTCCAAGTGGGTAGTTCAGGTAGTGGAGTAACTTGAAGGAGCTATGCTAAATGAAAAACATAAAACGAGAGTCCCCTCCCCTCCCTTCCTTTCCCCTTCTGCTAACCTTTTTTTTCTTCCTCTTCTTCCCCATTCCCTCTCCTTCCCTTCTTTATCCTCCCCGGGACATCCTCCTGTGGCGGAGCTCCTTCAGTGGCTCTCAACGCTCGGGGTCGTGGGGCGGTGCCGGAGCTCCCAAGGTGTCCCCCCCCCAGTCCCCGCCCGTACTGACCCCGCCCCCCCCCCGCCTACGGCCATTTTGGGCGCGTTGGCCGCAGCGGCGGCGGGATAGCTGACGGTCGCGGATCCTGTGACACCTCCCGGCAGCCCCGCACTTGTTGCTCCCAGGACCTGTTGTCACCCCTTAACCTGCCTTTCCCCTCAGCTCCCTGCCCCCTCCTGGATTCAGCCCTTTTCGTGTGATCACCTAGGACACAGATCTCTCGATACCGACTGCCTCAGCTAGGGAAATAGATGGTTTAAAAAAAAAAAAAAATTCTAAACACCGCTCTGAAAAGAGGCCCCGCTGGGCAGGAGCAGAAGCGGCAGAGCTTTGGTCCCGGAGCTGCAGAGGTGGCGCCTCTCCGGCTCGGGACGGTGGCCCCAGGCGCCGACGGCATGACAGACTCGGCCACAGCTAACGGGGACGACAGGGACCCCGAGATCGAGCTCTTCGTGAAGGTAGGTCGCGGTCCGCGCTCCCGCAGCACCTGCAGCGCCTCCAGCCGGGCTCCTACTGGCGCAGGCTCACGTGCCAGGGCGCGGATCGCGCTAGGACTCTGTACCCTCCCTAGGGAAGGCAGTCCCGGGCCCTTGAGGTCCCCTGCATGACCTATCTGCAGGTCGGCGCCTCGCTTCGGGGCTCCAGGGCGGAATGGAGTGAGGGGCAACGTGGCAGGTGGTTGTCTTCTTGGAGAGTTGTCCCGCAGTTTGTCAAACCTGCTGCAGGATCCGCGGTCATCACTGCCAGTCTGGTCCTCCCCAGCGGGATTTTGACTGGTCTTGAAGGACGTCTGCAGGTGTAGGGACATGGCAGGAACCTGGCTGAACCCACCCACAACCCTTTCTTCTACAAGAGAGAGGAGGAGGGAAGAGAGAGAGAGAAGGGAATATTATTGATAGAATATTTGATATGATGTTGGTGATATTTTGGCAAAGCAAAAATAACATTTCTTCAAATCCTCTTCCTCGCTTTACTCAGAGCCACCAAAATCAAAACGAAGGAAATGAAGGTGATTTCTTGGTTTGTGACTTAGAGAGCAGAAAATGAACACCCCATTCCCTGAAGTCATTATTACTGTCAGCATCAACATTATATAGGGGAAACGCTAAGCGTTTGGTGAGGGGAAACCTTGCGGTCAGACTGGGATAAAGGAGCGCAGTGCAAAATTAAATTAAGCCGCCTTGCTCCTTGGACAGTAGCAGTTCATGTCAAAGCTGCTGTACTTCATTTGCAACCTGTAGGAGGAAGGAAGGAGGCTGAGGCAGCCAGCGTTTCCCCGTGCCCCGAAGTAATGAGAAAGAAACATTTGATCAGTCCTCAGTGCCGACACTGCAGAAGCCCGGAAACCTGAGGCCGAAGGAGAGTGGCCTCCAGGGCCAGCAGAAAGAGTCCTCAGGATTTGGGGGAGGGGAGTCTCCAAGCTGCCAGAGCGCAGAGACCTTTCACAGTGGGGGATAAACTTTCTGAATGCAAAGTTTCTCCGGAAATATTCCGATAGCTGAGCAGAGGAGTCCTTGGTGCTGGGAGGTGGGGGGCGGTTATTTCCCCCAAATGGTTCTCCTTTGCAAGCCGGTTAAATAGGATTTTGTTTGTTTGTTTATGAGAAAGTTTCAGGTGGACGTAAACCTGATAACAATCTTTTGGTCTCTGCTACCTTTGTAATCCAAAAACGTATTCATATGACCAGTTGTGATTTATTGCATGCTTGCAAAGTGATCTATCTGTCTCTGATGTCCCAGCCTATTACAAAAGTTTTCCCTGCTGGGTTTTAAACTGTTTATGTTTCTTTTTCAAAATTACACCTCTCATTTAGTGACACTTGCTTTCCTCAGCCTAGTCTCTCCCCAGGATGCCCTCCTTTGATTTCTAGATTCCCCTCTAGGCAGGATTTCCAATCTGGCAGAGCCAGGTATGAAAGAGGTCACATCCCCTCCCAGGCTGGGCAGTGTTGAGCCATGGGAGTGGTAAGGGGGCACCCTGAACCCCAGAGTTCAGGCTTGCAGCCCAGAGGATGAATAGGCAGAGCTTTCACAAAGCGATGAGTCTTGCTGCTCTCCTTAAGAAAGCTGTTCTAGGACTTACTCAGATTCCCTAGGAGGAGGTAGCTTCAAGGTGTCAAGTTCCTCAGAGATATTTGAAACACAAATTGGTTCTTTAGAGGCAAAGGAGCCCTTTGCCCTACTGCTCCTTGTGGAGACCGATCCTACCTGCACCTTTGGAATTTCATGTTGGCAGCTTTGGAGATTTATATGAAAAGCTCACTTCTCAGATCCCAGTGCCCACTCAAAGAATTCTAAAATGTTTGTGTTGTCATTCCCCCCCCCCGCCCCCCTGCAAAGGAAAGCAATCCACAAGACTCAAGCAGATCCTTCATGGCCACTCCAAGACCAGAATATTGGAGGGAACAAAAAATTAGATAGAAAAGCTGTTTTGATCCTGTCCTCCCCACCCTTTTTCTTTTCTTTCTTTCTTTTTTTCTAACTTCTGTTTAGTGTTTCCACTTACAGGGTCAAGTAGAAGCTGGAAATATTGTGAACTAAAGTTGCTGTCCAGGCCTTGGACTGTGTTATTTTAGGGAAGCAATATCCTGATTTGAGAATCGGACTTTTCCCAAGTTTGAAGTCTCTGGAAGCTGTAAGATGCCCATTAAAAGAAAGCCTTTCTTGCAGATGGTGTCAGGTAACCAAAGTGCTTTCTGCAGGTCAGGGCCTGTGGGTTTCTATGAAGTCTCCCAGGCACAGCAGGCTCCACCCACAGGTGTGGTGTTGGTCATTTTCAATACTCTCTTAAAGGATCCCCAAACTCAGCCCGCCTGCTGGGTCCACCATTCTAAATCAAGATGAGCTTGATTTAGAATCAAAAAGCTCACGCAGTGAGCTTCAAGGACATGTGATCCTCTCCCCTATCAGTTGATAGTCATTATCTGTTACTAATACTGATAATAGTATTAATGATAATAATAACAGCAAACAGCAGCATTTTAGGACTTGTGCAGCAAGTTTATATATCTTATCTCATTTGATCCTCAACATTCTCATTTATGAGGATTGATTCGCTGATGTGAAAAAATGAAGCAGGCTCATAAACCTGACTCACAGGGAGCTTGTGAGGCTTGGTGTTGTCAGAGCATTTGGTGAGCTACAATTTGCTCTCTATGTAACAGTCCAGGGAAATAAGAATGAGGATCAGTCCCATTTTATACAACACGCTAGCTCAGAGAGGGTGTGTGAAATGTCCAGAGATAGACGGCAAACAGCATTAAGATTCAGTCCTTAAACGTAGTAGTTCAGAATCTAAACTTCCTGTTCTTTTCCAAATGCCAGTATGTCAAGTTCAGCTTATTTTGACAAGTTCAGCTTTTAAGTGTCATCCATGAAGATGATGATTTATAATTTGCTAATCTGTCCTAATGTGTTTACAAAATTCTGTCAAGGAAACTGCCATGCTCTCTAAATTCCAGTGAACATTCCAACTGGGATTTAAAGAGATAGTTTCCTTACATCTTTAGTTTCTTGATTTATATTGAAGAAGATTAGATCAGATACACTCCGATTCTGTGGGTAGGGCAAAGATCTGGAGACATAGGATCTGAGTTCAAGTTTTATCTCTGCCTCTAATTAGCTAAATAACTCTAAATAAATTATTTAATTTTTATGAGCCTTTACAGCAACCCCCCCCCCACTCCTTAAAACAAGAGATGGTTATAGATAAGGTGAGCAGATAACTCATTGTCCAAACCAAAACAGTTTGGAAATAAAAGAAATAATTGGTCTGGGACAACATATATAACCCAGGATTATTTGGGGGTAAATCAGGATGTATGATCACTCTGGTTAGGAAAATACAGTCACCAAGGATTTGTTGTGAGATTCTAAGATAACATATAAGTACATAAGTTGAATATTGCTATAAACACCTTGACTGCAGTGGTGATGCAAGTAAGGTGGCAGGTGGAACTGTTCTCGGTCTGCAGATCCCTGATTTGCCTTGGGGAACAAAGCCCTGGCTCTTTCCTTACTCACAGGGATGGGAAATCAATGAGATCATCTGAAGCTTGGACTTTGATCAGAAAGAGAAGGCAACAGATTAGGGACTGCATAATGGCAGCAAGGGTGGTTTATTGCAAGATAAAATGAGCAAGGAAGTAAAAGCAAAACAGAAAGCAATTTGGGAAGACAAACACAGGATGTGCTGAGTATGTTAGATCAAGGTATTGCCTCCACCACTTTCAGTCGAATCCCTAGACTCCAGACTCAGAAAGCCACTGAAGCAACGTGACCATGGTGAACAAATTCCCTACAAACCTTTCCTGGGGCCAGGAACCTGGATTTGAACAAAAGCCAGCGGCTCTCAACCTTGACTACATATTCATATTATTTAGGGGATTTTAAAACTCTTGATGCCAGGCTGTTCCCTGGGCCAATTACATGGGAGTTTCTGTGGGTGGAGCCCAGAAGTGGATTTTCACGTCCGCCCCTGGGTGACTCCAGTCTGCAGCTTCGTGGAGAGCCTCTAAGGCATCATGAGAGGTGGGGCTGATGGCAGGCAGCTTCTGCCACAACTGAAGTGGGTGGCCTTGCTGGTGTAGATTAATGTCCAAAACTTCTAAAGGCTTCAGGGCATCATGGTCAGGAGTGTTGATAGCTCATCCCAGTTGGTGCTCAGTTGACAAATGCTGACGGACCAGTAAGCCCTATCCACAGAACTCTAGAACAATCAGTGCATGGGGTCGGTCTCGTCAAATAATCATCTGTTCAGTGTGGGGGAAATAAAAACAAGTCCTTCTGATTGTCTGATGGAAATGACTAGTATTTTCCTTTACCAAGTGACTCCAAAAGCCCTGACAGTGGTATGGGGTGCAAGTCAAACATGGGTCCCCATGATGTGGTCATCTGATTTCCAGAACAGACAGGATCAAATTTTGTCATGTTCCCTCTGTGTGCCCAAGCTGCTCTGTCTGCCTGGTCACCTTGGGCAGCTCACCTAAGCATGAGCTCATTCAGTTTTTAATGCTTCCTCCATCCCACTAAGCAACTGTGTTTTTCTTTCCCACCATCTCCAGGTTTTGACTTGCAGTTAATGACCCAATACACAAATCTACCTGCCCTGCTATGTCATTGAGTGCTTCCTTTCCAGTAATACATCCACAGAGTGCTAGTGTCCAAGGTCAAAGATGCTCACTCAGGTGCTGTGGCAGGGTGTGGGAGTGTCTCTATGTCTGCAGTGGTGCCAGCTCCTGCCTCCCTGCTGAGCTGTGTGTCTCTCTGGGTATTCTTTGGCTCTCTCCAATTAGGGCAAAGAGTGTCAGTTTAGATAATCAGGTCAAAACTCTTCATTCTTGGTTTCCTTTGACTTACCAAGTGCTGGTCCTATGCTAGCATTATAAGAGTGTGACATTGGGTGTTAAGCTGTGGCTTATCAGGTGTGTGAGCTGCTACAGACTGACATCTCTGGGCCAGTTTCCTAGCAGTGCAATGCTAATAACAGTAGTACATATCTCTTGGGGTTAGTTTGAGCATAGAATGAGCGGCATATGAATCTAGAGTATATGAAGGGCTCTTCTATAGCCCCATGTATCCTAATCAGTGAAAGCAAAGTCCTTGGATTTCCCTCCCTTGATGTTTAGAAGCAGTCAGAGCTTAGGCCCACCTGATCCTGTCTCACTGCTGAAATCAGAATGCAGACCAAAGGCAGCTAGGGCACAGGTTAGCCATCACTACCTCTGATTGCCTCAGACTGAGCTGGAGGGCAGCAGAGGCAACTGTCAGAACTAATGCAGTTGGTGTGACCACAGGGCCAGTGCAGGTGTGACCACAGGGCCAGTGCAGATCCCTGACTCATCATTGGATTCTGGAACTTGATTCCTCCTGTCATTTACTCCCTTATCCAAGGAAGCTTTCTCATAGCTGTGTCCTCTAGGGATATTAGTTCCCTTTTTCTTTTGTCACTGAGCTCTGGGGGAGACTTCCCAGGCTCACCTGAGAACTGCCAATAACTTGGGTGAGAAAGAAGATTCTAGAGTCTAGGGGTTTCTTTGCAGGTCTTCCCACTGCCTCACCAACAACTTCCCAGCTTACATATGCATAGGGGCTTTCAGAGAAAATAGACTACCCATGAGCTTCCTGAAGACTTGGGTCTGTAGAAGGACTCTCTCCATTCAGACATCCTGAGGGGTCTGCTTTAATTATCAGAGAAATTTCTTTTCTTCTTCTTTTTTTTTTCCTTCTTAGTTATACACGACATTACAGTATAATTTGACTTATTTATATAAACATGGAGTATAACTTATTCTAATTAGGCTCCCAGTCTTTTTTTTTTTTTTTCTTTTTGGTACTGGAAATTGAACCCAGGGGTGCTTAACCACTGAGCCACGTCCCCAGCCCTTTTTTGGATTTTAGAGACAGGGTCTCTTTGGATTGTCTAGGACCTCACTAAATTGCTGAGGCTGGCTTTGAACTCTAGATCCTTCTGCATTAGCCTCCCCAGCTGGTGGAATTATAGGTGTGTGCCACCTGGCCCAGCTAGGCTCCCAGTCATGTGGTTGTACAAGATTCGCTCTGGTGTATTCATATGTGAACAGAGGAAAGCTCTGTCAGAATCATTCCACTGTCTTTCCTATTCCTCTCCCCACCCACTTCCCTTCATTCCTCGTTGTCTAATCTGCTGAAATTCTATCCCCTCCCCCTGCATGGTGTGTTAGCAACCGCATATCACAGAGAACACTCAGCCTTTGGTTTTGGAGCATTGGCTTATTTCATTTAGCATGATAGTCTCTAGGTCCATCGATTTACCAGCAAATGTCATTCTTCATTATGGCTGAGTAATATTTTATTGTGCATAAACCACATCTTCTCTATCCATTCATCTGTTTAAGAATGCTTAGATTGGTTCCATAGCTTAGCTACTATGAACTGAGCTGCTATAAACGTTGATGTGGCCACAACAGTATAGTATGCTGATTTTAAGTCCTCTGGGTATATACCAAGGAGTGGGATAACTGGGTCAAATGGTGGTTCCCTTCCAAGTTTTCTGAGGAATCTCCACATACTGCTTACCAGAGTCATTGCACCAATTTGGAATCCCACCAGCAATGTATGAGTGTGCCTTTTCCCCCACATCCTCGCCAACCTTTATTGTTATTTGTATTCTTGATAATTGCCATTCTGATAGGAGTGAGATGAAATCTCAGTGTGTTATCGTAGATATTTCTTTGCCAGCTACCTGAGTGACTATCTACTTTGGAAACTTACATTTTCCTTTAGGGAGTATCTGAGTTCTGAAATGTAAAATTCACTAAGGGTAAATGAAACAGTCTGCTGTCAGAACTGAAATGAATCTTTCCCTCTAAAAAGAAATGGAGTTGTCAACCTCTGAAAAAACCCTCTAGCTCTGCTGACATGGGAAGATTTTTTTTTTTTTTTTTTTTTTTTGAGACAGAGTCTCATTAAATTGCTGAGGGTCTGGCTAAATTGCCTACGCTGGCCTTGAACTTGCGATGCTCTTGCCTCAGCCTCCTGAGTCACTGGGATTATAGGTATGTACCACTGTGCCCAGCTGGCACAGGAAGATTCTTTGAATCATATTTTTTGTAGCACTGGTAATACACAATGGAGATATGATTCTCAGTTTTCAAAGCATGAAAATGACAGTAAATCTTTACATGCCCAGGCCCTGCCCCCCAAGAGATTGAGATTCAAGAGGTTGGGGTCAGGCTAGGGCAACTGTATCCTTATAAAGCTACAGGAGGTCATTCTGAGATTTGTCAAAGACTGAAAACCAGTGGTCAGACCCTGGGTAAAAAAAGATTGTGCTAGGCAGTGCGGCATCAAAGGGGTAAGAAGAGCTTCAGGCCCCACTTGAAGCGTGTATTTCACAGGATGGAGGAGGTTGAGGCAAACAGACTTACAGACTGTCCTCAGACAAACCAGGAAAGGAAGGAAAGGAATGCTTTTGACCCTCTCTCTCTATCTCTATCTGCTCCTCTTCCCTTGAAATTGTTTTTTTTTAAATAATGTAGGAGTGACAAACAATTTAAAAGCTATGCAGAAAAGAGATACTAAAAAGATAAAGAAATTAGGGAGTTAGGAGTTAGAGGATTGAAGACAATCAATTGGCCAATTAGCAAAAAAAAAAAAAGTTTATGAGGCACTCACTCTGTGTCAGGCTCCCAGGGAGCCAGAGATTAAAGGAAGATGGGGTCTTGGCTGTCCTGATGGCCGGTGGAGTAGAAGAGTAAAATTACAAATGGATATTAGTGCCAGTGTTAGGGTACAAAATGAGGGGTACAGATGAAGGGACAGTGTGGTCCAACTCAGGTCTCCAGGCCTAATAGATGCAGATCTGAGTTGTGCCTTCAGTATCCACAGAGGTGGCTAAGACTAGAAAACCACCTTGGGTCCAGCAAAGATACAGGGGTAAAGAAGTTCAGACAAATTTGGCTAGAGGAAGTGGTGTATTCAAGGGAGATATTGGAAATAAGCCACAAATCAAAACAAAACAACAACAACAAAAAAAAACAACAGAGGGCCATCTTGAATGGTTGGTAGGAGGCTTCTGCTCCCTCACTGGGGAGTAAAGGGAAGAGCTAAAGAGGGGAACAGAATGATGTGTTCCATGTTTAAAAAGGTTCACCTGCTGGGTTGCATGATGTAATGGGAAGATCTGGATTCCAGGTCCTGCTCTGTCACATGCTAGCTTGGGGAATTTAAGTTTCCTCTCTTATGAAATGGAATCATAAAATTGTGGAATTTCTGATTTGGGCAAACCTGTAGATATCATCTCGTCTGACCCCCTCTGATGAGATCAATTCACAATCTATGATTTTGGGATACATGCTGGATAGAGCAAAGGGAGAGAGCTCACCTGCTGCTGTAGTGGCCACGCTCACCATGACCATTAGAATACGGAGAACCTCAAGGAAGAGGATACTGCAATGATCCTATCAGCAGTTCACTGTGACGCCAAATAGGTTTGAGAGGCAGAATGTGCTTTGGAAGAGTGAATACAACATTAGGTACATACCTTAGAAGAGGCCTGTGCAATTTATGAAGGACACCAAAATTTAAGATTCCATGGTTTTGTGGTAAAATCATGTCTAGAGAGTCTAGTTTCCACACGTGGAATGGTGATACCATTGGTGGGCTTGACCATCATTGTCTAAGATGTAAATGGATTGAATGCAGCTCAACTAAACTAACTGCGCTTTAAGATTCCTTTATTATAAAATCTGATGAATTTATAATAAAAATAGGACTGTGAGAAAGAGATTTCTTGATCATGAAAATAATCTATTTTAGAACTGCTATGTTTGAAGCGTGGGCAGGCCAATCAGGTGCAGGTGTTCATTAGAGTACTGGAACATCAGAACTGAGAATGAGGATTGTCAGGACAGGAGATGTGGACTTGAACTTCTATTTAGAGCTACAGTTGAAGGAATAGGTCCCAGAGGATGGAACATGGAGAAGGAGTAAAGAAAAAGGTCTTGTGCTTTAGTTTCCAATAAATGTCCTCCTGATACCAGCAGCTCAGAGATTAGGCTTCAACCTCTGAATTTGGGGGAAATACATACAGACCACAGCAGATTGGATCATGAGGCATTTCTGACAGCCAGCTGAGCAATTTGACTTTTATTTATAATATAGAAGATTGCCTATGTACCTACCTGCCTGTGGAGCAATTACATTTTGAAAGGGGAAAGTGCTTGCTGGTCTAAATATGGCACTCCTCCCTGCTGCGTCTGAGAAAGCAGATTTTGAAGTGGGAGATCTTCACATCATGCCGTGGTCCCCCATAGTCTGTGGCATGGAGAAGTTTGGTGCTGCTGGGTGACCCTGCACCCTGCATCAACCATGGTGGAACTTAAGGTGATTTTTTTTTTTTTTTTTACTTCTGTTTATCATTCATCTATGGTAAGGGGAAAAGAAGCCAGTATCAGAGTGTGGAAACAGCAGGAGAGGTGAAGGGGGTGGGGAGTGCAGTGAATGGAGTCCAGCTGAGAGCCCATTACCTAGAATAAAGAGCAAGGGAAAACCTTGTCCCAGTTACTTTCTCTTAAGAGAGGTTGTCATGGCAACAGATAGAAGTGTCTTGATTCAGCCCAAGGCTTCTCTCCCCAGGACGCACACCTCTATTTCCTAAAGCTGACAGTGAGCAAAGGTCCAGCAAACACAGCAGGTGAAGGGGTGGGGTCTCCCTGCCTTTGATTCATTTTCATGTTTGGGTCCTGTGGCTTTATACGGTCATAGCATAAACTCTAGGACTCACAGTATCTTTGGGAATTTGCCTCAGAAACTAAAAAAGCCATATGATTGTGGTCCCTTATCATAAATGCCTCAGATCTTTTTTGTGTGGATGAAGGGTTCTGGGTAGGGCCTGTGCTACAAGGGAAAGGGGAGTCAGGTGGGATGTGGGTAGAGCACTTTTCCTCTTTCCAGAGCTCCCTGAGGATAGGAGGGATCTGATCTATCTGCCAAGACTATCATGAAGGTCAAATAACATAAAGAACACGAACCTCTTTTGTAAGTTTCCAGACTTACCCTTGTCTCCGTGTTATCACAAGCAAGGCTTTATATTCTTTTTATGTCGTCCCCAATGCTCAGCATGCATCTTTCTGTTTATAATAATGATCTGCCAATATTCCTTATGTTGCATCAAGGTAACCTGTGTCTGTTCCATTATTATTCATTGATAGCTTTATTTAACTGTTCCAATGCAAGACAGGATATTGGTCAATATAGGCCATAGAATCTGGCTGCTGTAACAACCACCCATCAATTTGTTCACATAGTAGCTCCATGAAGCATTTGTTGAGTGGTCTTTTCCACTTAGGCTCCTTCCATTCTGTAATTCTGTCACTTCCCAAGGCCACCAACTCTTCTGCTGGGTTCTGCATTTAACCAGCACAGAGGGAAGACTAAAGGTAAAGGATCCAGCCAAGAGATTTGCATGGCCTCTGTCTGGAAGTGGCCATATCACTTCACCCACTTTCCACAGTCCAGAATTCAATCCCATGGCTATTCTCATGTGCAAGGGAGTCTGGGAAGTGCCATCTAGCTGTATTTCCCAGGAGAGAGGGGAAATGGGTTTGGAGAATGGCAAGTCAGTCTCTACCTTAGAAACCAAGTTATCTGTTTCCCTGTTTCCTGCCACTCCATCACCTCAGTGGCATTCCTTAAGATGGCATCCTACATGGAGCTTCTCTCACCTCGTCCACCATGATTAGTACTATCTGCTTCAACTTCCTAGAATACTCTCTTTATCATACTTGTTCCTCTGTGTCCTAGATCCAAATTCACCTGCTTCTACTTGATACTGAAGATGCCTTTCGTTTCCCAACCTTATTTCTCATATTCCCTTGAACTGGTTGCTTATGTGTCTATTCATATGTTGAAGCAAAGTTTTGATACTCTTATCCTTTGAGGGAGGAAGAGATTTAGTCTTTATCACATTACAAGGTAACTGGCTGGGGGCTGTGGATGGGATTTGTCTCTACAAGCTTAGGGAAAAACAAAAACATGGGAAACCTGACCAGATCTGAGAACTTACCACCAGAACAGGATTTTTCAGCTTTGGATAGTCACATAAAAATTTCATTAAATTCCAGCCCATACACATAAATTGGACTCTTCATGGAAGGGACTCCCAGACATCTGCAATTTAACAGATGCCGCAGGTGATTCTGATGCAGGATCCAGTGAGGGGAGCACTGCCCACACCTACCAGGGCCTATGAGGATATCCTGAGTCCAGACAAGTGAGGTGAATGGTGGAAACTTAAAGCATCCTACATGCACAGGAGAGGAGTTTGGTTGGTGAGTAATCTTCCAGATGCTCTCAGGTCACCCCAATGAATGGAACATTTTGGTCATCACAAATAATGACCCTTGACCTTAGAATCTGCTCTCTGGCCTATGGAATTATAAAAACTGCAAGGCTGCTCATCCTCATCTCCAAAACATAAAATTCTCAAAGTGGAAAATGTTGGGGAAGAGATTTGAGGAGGAAGGGGAAAGGCAGGAGAAGCAGATGGAGCTGAAGTGGCTGTGGCCTGAAGATCCAGTGTCATTCCCCAGGCCTCTCCAGTCCTGGAGTCTCTCTGTAGTTTCAGAAGTCCTTGGAGAATCACTGGGAAACTGAATAATAACAGCAGTGGCTGTGTGCTGTTCTGAACACCTGCCTTATGTTAATTAACTTCTTGAATTCTACAGAGTCGGTCCTGGCATTCTTTCTACATTACAGATGAGGATACTGAAGCTCAGACGGAGTCTCCTGTAGCTAAAGCCATAGCTAGGACATGGCAGATCCTGGTTTTAACTCTGGCCTCTGGCTTCAGGATCTGTGCTCTCTGCTGCCCCATTCTACCCAGACCCCCAGCTTTATGAAGACAGAGTACTGGTGCTGGAGCAGGAGGCGTTTTTCTCCCCATGGCTGGCTGGAGTGAGATGACCAAGGCTCTGCCTTTTCTTAATTCTCCATAGGTCACAATGAATGGTCCAAGGTCAAGGTCTCCTTCCCTCTTCTATGTTATACTCTTTGATCAACCTCTTTGCTTTAAGAAATATTCCCCATGGGCCATTTCTGAAGTATAAATATGTTGCTCTAAATGGCTACACATGGACCCTGTGGTTCCAGCTCACATGTTAGGTAGGACTATTTCATCAAGTAGTCAGAGGCAAGCAGATCAGAAGGACCAGCAGAAAGATCAGGAAGATCATGCTACATGCTACTGGGGTACAGATCTTGAGGACCATCAGGTTATGGGGGGAAATGGTCCTTGTTGTGCATTGTGGGGTGACTGCCAAAGGCCGACCTTGTCCTCTTACTGGTTTACCCTAGAGCCGGCTCTTGATCAAAATGCTCCATCAGGATTCTGAGATAGGGTATGAAACTCATCTATGCAAGGATGAAGCCCTTGTCTTATAAGAAATTTTATGTTTATTCCAGTAGGCCCTGCCTCCATTATTAAAAATGGGAGATTATAGTAATTAAAAAAAATTAGACAATTTGCCAGGGCACTATAAAAATGAAAAAAAAAAGAAATGATATTTAACAATGTTATTCATGCAATTCAGTGGGATCCATTGAGTTTTCATGGGATTCCAACAGCTTCAATCCTTCCCCGGGGCCAGACAGTTTTTGTCTCTTACAGTGCTCCATAGCAGACTGGAGTCAAGGGTTGGGAATACATTGGTTGGCTACACTCACGCCATGGGGTCTAGCCTTGCTGATGCCAGGCCTTTCTATGACACATGATCTAGTCAAGGGTGCTGAGACCAGAGAAGTCATTATAATAAATACAACTTATTGGGCATCTACTATGCCCTAGACATTTTGCTAGGCACTGTTTAATCCCGTATTCCTAATCCTTTACAAGCAAGATCATCCGGTAGATCTATAGATGAGAAATCTGGCCTCTGACAGGTGAAGTCTTTTGCTTAGGGTCTGATGGACAGTGGCAGTTAGGATTCAAAGCCAAGTCTGACTGACTCCAAAATTTTGTAATGTATGTTAATAATTAAAGATAACGCAGGTAAAGTCAAGGCGCTTGAGATATACTTAGAGCAGTTGGCCTCCCAGATGCCAGTCTCTGGTGCAGTGGGGGAAATAAGGAGGCACACGAGGTAGACACAGTTGGGACCTGGCAGAACTTGCAGTCTAGGGGTAAAGGGGACAGGGCATCACTGAACATCCGAAGGAACTGTGACCTGAAGGCCAGTATGAGACTAAGGGAGATCAAAGCAAGGGTTTGAGGAAGGCACCTCGTTTCAGGAAGGTACCTCATTTCAGGAAGGCACTAAGCAGAGTTTTGCAGCACAGGCAGGCAAAGAATTGAAATTCAACTCCAAGGTGGGATATGAGGTGAGATACCCAGGAAAGCTCAGGTCGAGACAGGAAGACATCTACCTCTTACCTCCTTCTCCCACAGACCTGTTGCCTAGGCAGATTCCAGGGGGCAGGTGATAAAGGGACCTAGGTTCTATACCTCTAGCAAGACCCAGCAAACTTTTCTTGGTACCCACCTCCCCCAGGAAAATAGGACCTGCTGGAGAAAGGTCATAAACCAGCCCTTCTGGACCCAATCCCTGAGAATGATAAGAAGCTTATCTAGGACGGCTGCTCCTCATAAAAGGTCTCCATCTGTGTGCCAAGAACTACTCTAGCAAGGGCGAGGCACCTTTCACTCCAGAGTGGGAGATAAATGGCCCTCAGCTGGCGAGTGCTTCGGAGTGAAGAAGTGAGCACACAGCCCTCAGTCGAGGAGGAGAGTGTGGTTATCAGACGCACGTAATTGTGGTATGGGGGAGGGATGGTCCAAAAGGAGCCGGGGTGGGGGGGGACAGATTGTGGATGGGAGGCAAAGATCACCCACATCACGGCTCTGCTCCCTGGGTGGGTGCTGATGTCCTTTTTTGGGTTCCAGGGGATAGGACAGTAACCACCTGGAAATGGTTACCTTGAAATCTCAGAGCAGATGGCTCCTCTCTTCATGCTGGTTGTTTGCTACAAAGAAATGTGTGCACCATCACTTTATTATTGTATATGTACATACACATATACAATATGAATATTGAAATATGTATGCTTGTATTTCACATTTACATATATAAATAAATATACACAGACACATATAATATATAGAATATACATATAAATTTTATATATGTATAAATGCTTTTTTCCTGGGATTTGAGGTCCAAGGCTGAAATCCACAGTGTGAGACACTTATCATATGCTTAACCTCTGATATTTCTATGCGAATGGCATGCATATCTTTACATTTATTCCATATCCAATAATCATCGAGTAATAGAGCAATACAATGGAGTTTAGAAAATGTGAATTTTGGTTATGCTTCCTTCCATTCTGTTATTTTGGACTCATAACTTGGGTTTCTTCACCTATAAAATAAAGGGATTCAATGAATTGACATCTGAGGTTCCGTTCAGCTCTGAAATCGAATCTTTGATTCTTCTGTGTAGTTAAGCACCTTGCAGGGCCCTGTAGGAGGTTCTAAAAGACCTCTGCTCTCAAGTTTACAGATACTAGGTGAAGAGCTCAGCTTCCAAAGCCTGGGTCAGGTCAGCATCTGTTCACGTGGTAAATATTTCAGGCCTCACAAGAAATGCTGTCTCTGTCGCAGCTACCCAGCTCTGCCACTGTATTATGAAAGTGGCCACAGACAATATGAAATGATCGACTCACCTGTGTTCTAGTGACACTTTATAGAGAGGTGTGGGCTGACTCCTGGCTTAGGTACCAAACTGGCAGGGACTGAGCAGAGAGTGGTGTGTCCCCAAGCTGTGGGCGTGGCAACCTCAGGATCCAGTAGTAAGATGAAGCATTCTGAGTTTCTTAGAGAATGTTCCTGGCTGAATCAAAGTTATTCATAACTTTTTTTCTGCCTATGATGAAACATTAACAGAGGCTGAAGCTCAGGACTTTATTACCAGGCCCAAGAAAAGGTGTCTGTGGTCATGGATGCAAAACCTCACATGGGGGACCACACCTGGACAGAACTCTTTCCCTGATTCTATCACCACACTTTTGCTCTTCCTCCACACTGGGGATGGTTCTGTCAAAGGATCCCGTTGGCATTTACTGCTTGGCCTGGCTTCTACCAAGCCTTGTGCTACTGCCATGCTGCTCACTGGGGTGGTGCCCTGGCATCTGTGTGCTGGGACGTGGCCACCTGGCAGTGGGAAGATGCACAAATCTTCCTGGGAACGTCACTGTATAAAAACTACAATGATTACCTCATGTCTGAATCAATTCTGCATACTAGGTGAGAGTATAGTGTGCTGGCTGGTCAGGAAGGCCTCACACAACTAATCCAGATTTCCTGAGAAAGGAGAAAGTTGTCTTATGAGGTCACACATTCCTAATGGTGAACACTTGGGTGTGCTTTCTGCCCTTGACTTCCCTGTACCCTTGACAAGACACTTGGCCTCTCTGGGGAATTTTTCAACTATGAAACCAATTGGAACTGCATTCCTTGGGCCTGCTGGGTCCTGACCTCAATTCAAATTGCACAAATCCATGGAATCCACTTACAGTCTCTGGCTTTTGTTGACTTTCTTTGGTTGACTTTCACACTGGCCAGTTTCACTGTGTGTGTATGTGGGCATGCACACCTAACTTCTTCATATCTAAGGCCCTAATTTTCAGTCTTCTCTGATACTATGATTTTTTTGATAGCATCTATGAAATCCATGCTTTGTTATGCCAGCAAATTATAATAAAAGGTACTTCTGTCCTTTATTCATATGCTTTTATTTGGGGGGCATTTTCAACTTATTTCAAAGTGGACATAAATAGTAGACATTGCCCCCAGCATCATTGGTGTAGACATCTTAGGCCTTTGGTCTTCAAGACAGGACCCAGGGACTGGCTTTTTAGCCCCCATTTCTTTTCTTCTTAACTTATAAAAAATAGGTTCTGTGGTTTGCAACAAAAAGCCCCGATCTTTATTTCTTTAGAAAAACATTGTAAACAGAATCTTCTTTGAAGTCTATGTTAACCATAATACCTTATTTTAGTGATTAGAAATAAACATCCTATTAGATATATAAGAACAAAAATTATTTTGGAATTCTATTAAATTCTTTGGGATGTTTTTCGTAAACATAAAAATGCAGAAATGACATCGTATTTAGGATTCATTAAGAACATGAAACTCTCTGTCTCCCTGGGCCAACCTGGAGGAGGTAGGAGAAAGCAAGTCCTACTAAGGGAATTGTTTTTATTCCCTTTCCATCTCTTCTTGTGCCACCAAAGAAAAACTTTTCACTGAGTGAAATCAACTTATAATAATTCCTGAAAGCCTCCTGCAAAGAAAAACAATAAAATAATATCTCACATTTACTAAATACTACATGAATTCTTTACATGTATTT